CCCCGCCTTGCCTCTGAGATTCTGCTGGTTTTTTGTTTCGGATTTAATGGGAGGAAAATAACTTTTCCTCAGCCTCTTGGGGAGATCACCCTCTTTTATCACTTTATTGTGGCTGCCCTTTTAATGAGACAAAACACACATGAGCGTTTCTCTGGGTGTCCCCTTCTACCTAGGGAAGGAGGAGGGCTTACATTTTGGCCAGGCCTTGTGTGATTGGCTCAGATCAACATTCTCTGTTCATCTTCCTGTGTAGGATTTCTAGACCAAGTGTCATCTCCCAGCTGGAACAGAAAGACGAGTCATGGCTTCTACCACTCCAACATTTTGAGGCAAGGGAGATCCTAAGGGAAAGTCACTCAGGTGAGATGTGAGTGTTACTTGGTGGGAAAAGAATGTGAAATGCTGCCCTGGAGTTTTGTTCTTCCCATCGGAAGTTTAAATTTGAGTTCTTGGGCAGTCACGAATTGACCAAATAAAGTCTCTTTTAAAGTAAGCATTTCACTTTCGTTTCCACTATGACATCTTTGAAAGGAGTTGCCTAATTTTGACAACATGTGGCTTACTCTCGAAGGATGTAAAGGTCATCTCAAGATTTATCTGGTCATCCTATATAATAAAGAGGTAATATGCAAATTGACCATCACTCCAACACACAAGATGGCCAGCAGGGGAGGACAGTTGGGGGTGACCAGGCCATCAAGGGAGGGCAGTTAGGGGTGACTGGGCCAGCAGGGGAGGGCAGTTGGGGGCAACCAGGCCTGCAGGGGAAGACAGTTAGGGGTGACCAGACCGACAGGGGAGGGCAGTTAGGGGCAATTGGGCTGGCAAGGGAGCAGTTAGGCATCAATCAGGCTGGCAGGGGAGTGGTTAGGGGGTGATCAGGCAGGCAGGCAGATGAACAGTTGGGAGCCAGCAGTCCACTGGGATCGGGCCTAAACGGTCAGTCGGACATCCCTCAAGGGGTCCCAGATTGGAAAGGGTGAAGGCTGGGCTAAGGGACCCCCCCCCCCCCCCCGCACAAATTTTGGGCCCCGGGCCTCTAGTCTTAAAAAAAAAACGGTTTAGGGATTCATGTTTTCTGTGAGCTCAATGAACATCAATAAACTTTTCACAGAGTGAAAACCAAAGTAGTCAAATTTAAGTATAGGCTGTTGCAAAAACACTAATTTTAGTCTTTCTTGCTGCCCTCTGATGTACGTTCCTGACAACTTTATTCTTGGTCACTTCTGTTAATTTTTCAGACTTGGAGAATCAGCTGGGAAAACTCCATCAGGATGTTTCTGAAACAGCAGAACAAAGCAGAACATCCTCAGAAGGGGCCAATGAAGATGTTTATCAGACTCCCAGCTGGGGAGGAAGCTGGGAGAGGGGCCTTGAATTAGAACCTGGAACCCTCCCAGGGGAGGGCCATCGGGACAAGGATTTAAACAAGCTCCTGGAGGGATATGCAGGAAAGAAGCCGGTGTGTGCAGAATGTGGGAAAACCTTTAACCAGAGCTCCTATCTCATTAGACACCTAAGAACCCACACCGGCGAGAGGCCTTATAAATGCACTGAGTGTGGGAAAGGCTTCAAGCAGAGTTCAGACCTCGTCACCCACCGCAGAACACACACAGGAGAGAAACCCTACCAGTGCAGTGGGTGTGAGAAAAAATTCGGCGACAGCTCGACACTCGTCAAACATCAGAGGACCCACACCGGCGAGAGGCCCTATGAGTGCCCAGAGTGTGGGAAGACTTTTGGGCGGAAGCCACACCTCATCATGCACCAAAGAACCCACACGGGAGAGAAGCCCTACACGTGCCTCAAATGTCACAAAAGCTTCAGCCGAAGCTCCAATTTCATCACCCACCAGAGGACCCACACAGGCGTGAAGCCTTACCGGTGCGATGACTGCGGGGAGCGTTTCAGCCAAAGCTCGGATCTGATCAAGCACCGGCGAACCCACACGGGGGAGCGGCCCTTTAAATGCCCCGAGTGCGGGAAGGGCTTCACGGACAGTTCCCATTTCGTCGCGCACATGGGCACGCACTCGGGAGAGAGGCCATTCAGCTGCCCCTCCTGCCCCAAGAGCTTCAGCCAGAGCTCCCATCTGGTCACCCACCAGAGGACCCACACCGGCGAGCGGCCTTTTAAGTGTGACGGCTGTGGCAAAGGGTTCGCCGACAGCTCTGCCCTCGTGAAGCACCAGCGGATCCACACGGGAGAGAGACCCTACCGGTGTGGCGAGTGCGGGAAGAGCTTCAATCAGAGCTCCCACTTCGTGACCCATCAGCGGATCCACTTAGGAGAGAGACCGTATCCGTGCCCCGAGTGTGGCAAAACCTTCAATCAGCGTTCCCACTTCCTGACACACCAGAGAACACACACAGGAGAAAAACCTTTCCACTGTAGTAAATGTGGCAAGAGCTTCCGTCAGAAAGCACACCTTTTATGCCATCAAAACACTCATTTGATTTAGGAAATAATCTTTAGTGGTTTTGCTGCTCCCTTCCAAAAATTTTTTTTAAAAAAAAATATATTTCTCCTGACTTCAGAGAGAAAGGGAGAGGAAGCGAGAGAGAGAGAGAGAGAGAGAGAGAGAGAGAGAAACATCAATGATCAGAGAATCATTGATTGGCTGCCTCCTGCATGCCCCCCACTGGGGATCGAGCCTGCAACCCAGGCATGCGCCCTTGACCGGAATTGAACCTGGGACCCTTCAGTCCACAGGCAGATGCTCTATCCATTGAGCGAAACCGGCTAGGGCCAAATTTTTATCTTTAAGTACCCCAACTAGGAACCTGGGCACCAGTGATTCAAGTTGGGCCCTAATCTGTTCCCTCTCTTTTTTTTTTTTTTTTCATGTTTTAATGGTAAGGATAAACCTATAGGCTCCAAACAATGTTTGAACACAAAAGGCATTCCTTCAATGTTTTTGATGGATTCTTAGGGAAATATAAATTGAATGGTTGCAGCCGTGGGCAAACTACGGCCCGCAGGCCGGATCCGGCCCGTTTGAAATGAATAAAACTAAAATAAAAAAAGACCGTACCCTTTTCTGTAATGATGTTTACTTTGAATTTATATTAGTTCACACAAACACTCCATCCATGCTTTTGTTCCGGCCCTCCGGTCCAGTTTAAGAACCCATTGTGGCCCTCGAGTCAAAAAGTTTGCCCACCCCTGGGTTAATGCCTGGTTACTATAAGAGAAGTGAAATAAAGGTGACCTAAAGGTCTCATGTAAGCCACCAAGTACAGTGCCTCGCACAAAGTAGGCCCCTAGTAACAAAATGGTCACGTTAACATTAAAATGATGAATACTTGAGATCTTATATAAAGCCCTCAATTTTGTGCCTGCCCCTTAAAAGACACTCGATGCCAAGCTGGTTGCTTATATCAGCCTTATGACACAGCAAGGCATTTATTAGGGCAGCCCTGCGAGCCGAGGACTCGCAAGCAATTAGATTGGCATTAGATTTGGGGTGTGAGCGCCCAGATTTCATAAAACAGAAAACACTCTCCCAAGCCAGTGCTATGCAGGCATTCGTCACCAGATGTCTCATTGCCATGACGAGGCAGAATTAGTCTCAGAGGATGTTTGCGGTCTTGTGACTAAGAGGCTGAAAGAATTTCAGAAGCTTTCGGTACAGCAGCAGTGCCTGAGGTGCTCCCATGGGCCGTTTGCTGCCATCTGCGGCACAGAAAGATCCAGGGACAAGCCTAGAAGAGGACTGTCACGTTGTGGAAACAAGATTCCTGAGACGACTGGGCAACGCTACAGGGACCCTTCCCGGCATCCAGCTGCAGGAAACAGCTCCTGTTTTCGAATCCGCTGGCTCCTTTGCCTTTTAGTTTTAAGTTACTGCAACTCTCTGACCTTCTTAGGGTCATTCATTTTACACACTGGTCCAGTCCTGTATTTAATTGGAACGCACCGAGGAAAGGCAGTGTTGGCAAGAACACTGACTTCGCTGAGAAGGTGAGCTGTTTGAGTCCTGGCCCTGACACTTAACCTTGGCCAGACTTCTGCCTTTTGTCAGGCCCTACCTTCCCTACCTCACAAGGTGGTTGTGAGAGCTTGCACGCACGCACGCACGCACGCACGCACGCGAGCACTTTGTTCTTAAACCATAAAGTGTAATATCCCTACAGTATTGTTGCAAATGTCTTTTTTTCCAAGGACCTCTGGATAATATTTCTCCAGATGTCTCATTTTCTCTCCCGACGACAGACTTCTTTTTTCACGTGTTGAAAACCCAGGCCTGAAAAATGCCAAACCACTCGCTGTAGGTCACGTAGTTAACAGAAGAGCCAGATTTTTGGCTGCAGGTCTCCTGTCAGCAACACGGAACCGACCAGCCCTGGGGTTTGTCAGTGTCTCGTATTATATCCATCAGACGCTCTGCATTTGGAAATGATGGAGGCGTGCAGCCCAAGTTCCCGGGAGCTTTACAGGATTCTGGGCTGGGGGGTCCTTGGTCCTGGAGGAGTAAGAGTGGACAGGTAAGGACAGATGCAAGGGGCTAAGAAGGGCGTGTTTTGGGTGTTTAATACTCTAGAGCAGCGGTTCTCAACCTGTGGGCCGCGACCACTTTGGGGTCGAATGACCCTTTCACAGGGGTCGCCTATATTGTTTTTGTGATTAATCACTATGCTTTAATTATGTTCCATTTGATTAATCACTATGCTTTAATTATGTTCCATTTGTAACAATGAAATTGGGGGGTCACCACAACATGAGGAACTGTATTAAAGGGTCGCGGCATTAGGAAGGTTGAGAACCACTGCTCGAGAGGGAAAAGTCGGTGCCTGAAGGTTTTCTTACAAGCCTTCCTGTGTTACTCAGACTAAATTACTGCATCAGCCTTGGAATACCAGTTTGTCCCCTTCCGTTCTATGGAATGCCCCCTGAGGGCTTTAACTCATGGGAGACAGAATGTGCTGATAACCTAAACTCTTTCTTTGTCAGGGAAGTTAGATAATTGACCAGGAATAAACAATCTGGCTCATTGAGTGCAGTGGTTTGAAAAATGTAAACCCAGATCAGTAGCATTAACATCTGGGAACTTGTTAGAAATGCAAAGTCTAAGTCCTCACCCCAGACCTACTGCATCAGAACCTCTAGGGATAGCCCGAGCCGGTTTGGCCCAGTGGATAGAGCATTGGCCTGCAGACCAAAGGGTCCCGGGTTCGATTCTGGTCAAGGGCATGTACCTTGGTTGCAGGCTCCTCCCCGGCCCGGGCCCCAGTCGGGCTCATGCAGGAGGCAACCAATCGATGTGTTTCTCTCACATCGATATTTCTCTGTCTTTCCCTCTCCCACTCTCTCTGACAATCAATGGAAAAATATCCTTGGGTGAGGATTAACAAAACAAAAACTCTAGGGGTAATATATGTGACCTCCAGGGGTACCATCTCTGCAGGGGTGGGAGTGTTTTGGCCAGGGGTAGGACATGGAATATGAGACTGCAGAGTTGAGTATGATATCCCTCAGAAGAGACATTCTGACAGTTTTTCACTGGATTAACGTAAAGTGTCCTGGAAGAGTGTCCCACAAGAGGGAGCCAGCCCAGCCAGTGTGGCTCAGTGGTTTAGTGTCGACCTATGAATGAACCAGGAGGTCACGGTTCAATTCCTAGTCAGGGCAGAAGCCCAGGTTGTGGGCTCGATCCCCATTGTGGGGCGCTCAGGAGGCAGCCAATCAATGATTCTTTCTCTCATCATTGATGTTTCTATCTCTCCCTCTCCTTTCCCCTCTCTGAAATAAAAGAAATAATAAATACATAAGTAAATAATCGGGGGCTCTCACAGACCCCGGCCAGCATGGCCAGCAGGCTCTTCCACATGCGTACCGTCACGCTCTGAGAGAGAAAAGCAGGTGGTCTGTAGCCTGGCTTCCTCTCCATCTCCCTCTCCTGAGCCCTCCCCCAGTTCTTGGAGGAGAGGAGGCTGGCTGGCAACCGAGTCGCTGCCAGCAGAGTTAGCACATTCCCTCCAAACTCAAGACCCCCAGGCTCCAGCCCTCTATTCCGACTTCCTAACAGTATTGAACAGACACAGGTCACTGGCTTGTAACATAAATTGCGTCTTTTTCTCTCACCTTGTTTTTCATGCTGTACATCTACAGAAATGTCTCTCCCATAACATGAGCTCTTGCAGGGCGGTGTGGGACTTGCTTTGGGGCTCTGCCACCTCCCCCGCACCCTCCAGCCATGAGCAGGGAATCCCTCAATGTATTGGTGAGAGTCAAGGTAACTGACTTTCCATTGTTAACGTAAAAAAAACCCATTGAAACCTGTAAAGAATTTTGTGAGTTTATTTGAGCCAAACTGTGGACATATGCAGGGAAGCAGAACCTCAGGGAATTGAGATAATGATCTGGAGAATGGCGGGTTACATCTGTATTTATACATGGCAATCAAAGGAAAGGGACGTAGGTGGGTTACATGAAATCCACTGGGGATAGATTAAGGAGGAGGCCTTCCTCTCTGTAAAAAATCAATAAAATATATATATAAAAAAAAAGATGGACACATACTTAGGTGGGTGCAGGAACAATTAACATAACAATGAAGGAATCTGTGGTATCTGTCCTGGCGCCCAGCACATTTGGTGGTGCCCCAGGGGCTCCAGAAGAAGGGAAGTTACAAGTTACCCAGGCATGTCAAAGGTATGTTATCATAGATGCAAAAAGACAGATAGGCTCCGTTAGGGTAAAGGTTGATCTTGTCAGTGAAGATACTGGCCTGGGATGTAACTACCCACCATCACTGCTTTAGTTAAAGTTTAATTTCAGACCATCCTTTGTGGTGACTTTAGGTCTCTGAGTTTGCAAGATCGCCATGCAGGCCTCCCCTGAGCCTGTCAGGTCAGCATGTGGCCACTTGCGTCCACACCATATTTTCTCTTTGTTGCTACCCTGTGACGGGCCATTAGCTCCTTGTACATGCTCCACACCTCCTCTCTCCTTCACTCCATTGATTTTTGATTTTTTTTTAAAAGCTCAGGGTTCTGCCAAGAAATATTTTTTAAAATTTTTATTGATTTCAGAGAGGAAGGAAGAAGGAGAGAGAGAGAGAGAAACATCAATGATGAGGATCATTGATCAGCTGCCTCCTACATGCCTCCTACTGGGGATTGAGCCTGCAACCCGGGCATGTGGCCTTGACTGGAATCAAACCCAGGACCCTTCAGTCTGCAGGCTGATGCTCTATCCACTGAGCAAACCGGCTAGAGCCTCTCTCCACTTTAAAACCCACGTCATCTCCAGGCCCTGTCAACTTTACCTCTCAGGCTCCTCTCAGAACCATCTACCAGTCTCTCCATCTCCAAGGCCACTCTCTAGTCCCAAATGACCACCATCTCTTACCTAAGTCCCTGGAGTAGCCTCCTATTGATACCCCAGGTATTATTTTTGCTAATTTCTTCTCAGAGAAAGAGTGATCTTTTAAAAACCTTAAATCGAATCATATCACCAAAATGCTTTAAATTGACAGCTTTTAGGATAAAGAACCAAATC